TTCCCTTAAAGATGGGGCAAGAGAGAGCATGGCAGGACTAACATTGACTGAGTGCCTACTATATACCAGCCACTGACACATAGTAGGTTATATAATAGGTTGTATAATCTCTTCAGTGACCCTGTGAGTTAGTGATTTTTTTTTTCTTTTTCTTTTTTTAAAAATTTATTTATTTTTGGCTGTGTTGGGTCTTCGTTGCTGGGCGCAGGCTTTCTCTAGTTGTGGAGAGTGGGCGCTACTCTTTGTTACGGTGCGCGGGCTTCTCATTGCAGTGGCTTCTCTTGTTGCGGAGCACGGGCTCTAGGCGTGCGGGCTTCAGTAATTGTGGCACCTGGGCTCAGTAGTTGTGGCTCGTGGGCTGTAGAGCACAGGCTCAGTAGTTGTGGTACATGGGCTTAGTTGCTCCACGGCATGTGGGATCTTCCCGGACCAGGGCTCAAACCTGTGTCCCCTGCATTGGCAGGTGGAATCTTAACCACTGCGCCACCAGGGAAGCCTGAGTTAGTGATTATTAACCCCACTTGAGTTTAGCCCAAGAGGAGTAAGGGGCAGAGGTGGGGCTCCAGCCTTGGGGCACTTGATCCAGAACTTGGTTCATTCCCCATACTCTGCAGCAGGAGGGAATGAGAGTAGTTACCTTCTGCCGTGTTGTGTGGAGAGAGAAAGAGTTGGAAGAAAACAGGCGGCTTCTCGACAAGGAAGTCTGACCTCATTCTTGGTCTGTTTGTGCAGAATTTGATAAAAAAAACTCTGCCACCACAAAGGTCTTTGGATTGGTCTGGCCCTCCCTGTTTCCATAACACATTCTCTTGGCAAGGTTCATAGAGCACAGTGCTTGTTTTCCCCGGCTTGGGGGTTCAGTTCTGTCATTCATCAAGAACTGGCCGAGTGCCTGCGGGTTCCAGATAAGTGCAGATGATACGGGCACGGGTGAGGCAAGGCACTTAAGAACCCATTGGGTAGAGAAGGCAGGTAAACACAAGAGAGAGGTGTGAGCATGCGTGGAGGCAGCATAAGGAGGGGGTGATTGGAAATTCCCTGGCTCTCACTGCCAGGGGCCTGGGTTCCCTTAAAGATGGGGCAAGAGAGAGCATGGCAGGACTAACATTGACTGAGTGCCTACTATATACCAGCCACTGACACATAGTAGGTTATATAATAGGTTGTATAATCTCTTCAGTGACCCTGTGAGTTAGTGATTTTTTTTTTCTTTTTCTTTTTTTAAAAATTTATTTATTTTTGGCTGTGTTGGGTCTTCGTTGCTGGGCGCAGGCTTTCTCTAGTTGTGGAGAGTGGGCGCTACTCTTTGTTACGGTGCGCGGGCTTCTCATTGCAGTGGCTTCTCTTGTTGCGGAGCACGGGCTCTAGGCGTGCGGGCTTCAGTAATTGTGGCACCTGGGCTCAGTAGTTGTGGCTCGTGGGCTGTAGAGCACAGGCTCAGTAGTTGTGGTACATGGGCTTAGTTGCTCCACGGCATGTGGGATCTTCCCGGACCAGGGCTCAAACCTGTGTCCCCTGCATTGGCAGGTGGAATCTTAACCACTGCGCCACCAGGGAAGCCTGAGTTAGTGATTATTAACCCCACTTGAGTTTAGCCCAAGAGGAGTAAGGGGCAGAGGTGGGGCTCCAGCCTTGGGGCACTTGATCCAGAACTTGGTTCATTCCCCATACTCTGCAGCAGGAGGGAATGAGAGTAGTTACCTTCTGCCGTGTTGTGTGGAGAGAGAAAGAGTTGGAAGAAAACAGGCGGCTTCTCGACAAGGAAGTCTGACCTCATTCTTGGTCTGTTTGTGCAGAATTTGATAAAAAAAACTCTGCCACCACAAAGGTCTTTGGATTGGTCTGGCCCTCCCTGTTTCCATAACACATTCTCTTGGCAAGGTTCATAGAGCACAGTGCTTGTTTTCCCCGGCTTGGGGGTTCAGTTCTGTCATTCATCAAGAACTGGCCGAGTGCCTGCGGGTTCCAGATAAGTGCAGATGATACGGGCACGGGTGAGGCAAGGCACTTAAGAACCCATTGGGTAGAGAAGGCAGGTAAACACAAGAGAGAGGTGTGAGCATGCGTGGAGGCAGCATAAGGAGGGGGTGATTGGAAATTCCCTGGCTCTCACTGCCAGGGGCCTGGGTTTGATCCCTGGTTGGGGAGCTAAGATCCCGCAAGCTGCATGGTGTGGCAAAAAAAAAAAAAAAGAGGGGGTGATAAACAAGGAGCAGCCTTGGCCTTTGGAAGCTTATAAAACCAGCATTATACAGAGGAAGCAGTCAGGTGATAAACTGGCAAGATGGTAGCCACGGTGAGTCACTGCAGGGGAGATCAGAGAGATTCAGGAAGGCTCTATGCAGGAGGCAGGCCTTGGGCAGTGAGGAACAGATGGGGCTTCTCTGAGTATTCCGGCACCGTTACTCCAGGTATGTCATTTCATTTATCTTCACAATCACAATGAGCGCGTTGCAATGAAAATCATCATCCTGTAGATGAAGAAACTGGGACTCAGGTTAAGTGACTTGCTCAAGATCCCGCAGCTAGGGAATTCCCTGGGGGTCCAGTGGTTAGGACTCTGCGCTTCCACTGCAGGGGGCACAGGTTTGATCCCTGGTTAGGGAACCAAGATCCTGCAAGTTGTATGGCGAGGCCAAAAAAAAAAAGATACCTCAGCTAGTAAGTGGCAGACCAGACCCTTGACGTCACACCTGTCAGGCTCCTAAGCATAAGAACCCACCTCTAACGCATCTGCCCTATTGCCTCCTTCAGGCAGGAGGCTGTATTGTGAAAGTAGAGTTACAGGCATAGGGTGGAGGTGGGCAGGGTGGATGGGGCTGGGGAGCCTGGCAGGAGACAGGTCCAGGAGGATATGGCAGGGGAGGGTGTGTGAGCCGATGTAGGGCAGGGGATGGCAGGAGGCACGCTGAAGAAATGTGATAAGCCTTCCTGCCAGGGGGAATATAGATGTGAAGAATCAAAGACGACCCAGTAGGTTTCTAGCCATCCTCACAGTGTTCTTTGGACACTAACTCTAACACAGGAGGGGAAGGGAGTTCTGTAGTCAACAACTCGGGAAATGCTGGTTAACCCAAATGAAGCAGGTTTCCCTGCTGTAGGCTTTCTCACAGCTTGTAATGCTGGCGGGCACCGTGGATCTTTATGAGGGCAAGAAAGCACGTAGCGTGCCTTGGAAGAAGCCGTACTATCTGGGGCGATGGGTGGTTCCCTGAAGGCCAGAGCTGTGTCTTGTTCATCTCTGCCTCTTCCTCGTTTTAGAAAAAGGCCTTCAGGAAATGTGACACATACACATGTTTGAATGAATGGCTGAAAGAATGACTAAAATTCAGTTCAGAGGGAAAGGTGGAGGATAAATCCCAGAAATCACTTGTGTTCAAAACATGTGATAAGACCCAGTTGTACTTCTGCTCCACAAGGCAGGCGGAGGAAGGGGGGTGGTCTGTCCATGTTGATGAGCAGAGGTGATTGGTAGGGAGGTCCATCAGGAGACATGGAATGGAAACAGGTGAGAAGTCTGCTGGGAGGTGGATCTGGGAATTCCTTATGGAGACTGATCCTCACAGCCAAGAATGAGGTTGATTCTTTTTTTTTTTTTTAATAAATTTATTTATTTATTTATTTGTGGCTGCATTGGGTCTTCGTTGCTGCGCATGGGCTTTCTCTAGTTGCGGCGAGCAGGGGCTACTCTTCATTGCAGTGCGCAGGCTTCTCATTGCAGTGGCTTTTCTTGTTGCAAAGCACAGGCTCTAGGTGCGCAGGCTTCAGTGGTTGTGGCACGTGGGCTCAGTAGTTGTGGCTCGCAGGCTCTAGAGCACAGGCTCAGTAGTTGTAGTACACAGGCTTAGTTGCTCTGCGGCATGTGGGATCTTCCCGGACCAGGGCTCGAACCCGTGTCCCCTGCATTGGCAGGCGGATTCTCAACCACTGCACCACCAGGGAAGTCCCAAGGTTGATTCTTGACTGGAGAGTTAAGACCAGTGGTTTCACCCCAGCTGCATGTTAGAATCATTTGGGAAGCTTAAGAAATATTCATGCCTGGGTCTCACCTTTAGAAATTCTGACTTCATTGCTCTAGGCCAGTGCTTCCCAAACTTTTCTGCCTGTTAGAATTACCTGGGAATTTTTTTTTTTTTTAATTCCAAAGCCCTATACTGCGCCCCCAAACACACACACCAATTGAATCACATTCTCCGGGGCTGGAACACAAGCATCAGTGTTTTTTGAAGTTCCCAGGTGACTCCAGTGTGCAGACAAGTTTGGGAATCACTGATACAGGTCTCTTTTTTTAAAACTCCCGTGGTTATTTTAACATGCAGGCAGGACTGGGAAACACTAGTCCAGCCTAATGATGTTCAGATTTGAACATGTATCCTTGTTGAGACTCAGATGTGGTCCTCGCCCTAAGAGTTTCTGATACATTAGGTCTGGGGTGGGGCCTGAGAATTTGCATTTCTATTCCCAGGTGATGCTGATGCTGCAGGTCTGGGGACCACACTGGGAGAACCACTGCTATAATGGGACTGGGGGTTCTCTGATCTCAGTGGGAGGAACGGGAGCCAGCAGTGGCAGAGGCTGGATGCTCTTTAACAAGGTGCTTATTACATAGAGACAAGGTGAGCACAGTTATCCCAAGAAGCCGCAGGGCCGGAGTGGTAACCAGAGCGTTTTGACCAGCAGGGCCCTGTGGTTATAATCATGGGGGCCTTGGAATTGAAAGAGATGGGGTGCTTACTTAAGTGCTGCTTGGCATATACAGAGGGGTCATGGGAGGTCTTCAAGGACCATCACAAAGGGCTGGAGCCCATGGGTGATTACAGGGTTGGGACAGGGTTGCACGTGGCCAGGACATGGAGGTGTTAGTATAGGCTGTGATGAGAAGGAGGTGAAATTTCAGCCCATAGGTTGGGCAGGATATGTTGTTTTTCCCTTGCTGCTTTCAATAATTTTTCTTTGTCTTTAATTTTTGCCAATTTGATTACGATGTGTCTCAGCATGTTTCTCCTTGGGTTTTTCCTATATGGGACTCGCTGCACTTCCTGGACTTGGGTGGCTATTTCCTTTCCCATGTTAGGAAAGTTTTCGACTATAATCTCTTCAGATATTTTCTCGGGTCCTTTCTCTCTCTCTTCTCCTTCTGGGACCCCTATAATGCAAATGTTGTTGCGTTTAATGTTGTCCCAGAGGTCTCTTAGGCTGTCTTCATTTCTTTTCATTCTTTTTTCTTTATTCTGTTCCGCAGCAGTGAATTCCACCATTCTGTCTTCCAGGTCACTTATCCGTATTTCTGTCTCAGTTATTCTGCTATTGATTCCTTCTTGTGTATTTTTCATTTCAGTTACTGTGTTGTTCATCTCTGTTTGTTTGTTCTTTAATTCTTCTAGGTGTTCGTTCTTTAATTCTTCTAGGTCTTTGTTAAACATTTCTTGCATTTTCTCTATCTTTGCCTCCATTCTTCTTCCGAGGTCCTGGATCATCTTCACTATCATTATTCTGAATTCTTTTTCTGGAAGGTTGCCTATCTCCACTTCATTTAATTGTTTTTCTGAGGTTTTATCTTGTTTCTTCATCTGGTACATAGCCCTCTGCCTTTTCATCTTGTCTATCTTTCTGTGAATGTGGTTTTTGTTCCACAGGCTACAGGATTGTAGTTCTTCTTGCTTCTGTTGTCTGCCCTCTCGGTTGGGCAGGATATGGGGTGTGGGTAGTGACCGGTTTCCTGGTGGTTTAGGGACAGAAACTGGGTTAGGATTGGCCATGACTTGAATTTATCTCAAGGCTTCCACAGCCAGAGTGTTGATAACATAGGAACCTTCTATCACTCGTTTCTCTGGAAACATTTATTGTGCATCTCCTGTGCTTCAGCCACTGTGCCAGTTCTGGGGTGAACAAGGCCCAGTCCTTGCCCCAGGGTGCTCTGGGCCAAAAACTTTTGCTCTGCAAGAGGATGAAAAGACAAGCGATAGAATGGGGAAAATAGGGCTTCCCTGATGGCGCAGTGATTGAGAGTCCGACTGCTGATGCAGGGTACACGGTTTCGTGCCCCAGTCCAGGAAGATCCCACATGCCGCAGAGCGGCTGGGCCCGTGAGCCATGGCCGCTGAGCCTGCGCATCCGGAGCCTGTGCTCCGCAACAGGAGAGGCCACAACAGTGAGAGGCCCGCGTACCACACACACACAAAAAAGAATGGTGATAACTCCACATGCTAGTAGGGTGTGGAGAAACTGGATTACCTCATACATTGCTGGTGGGAAAGTAAAATAGCATAGGCACTCTGGAAAACAAGTTAGTAGTTTCTTGTGAAATTAATATGCACTTACTGTACAACCCAACAGTTGTATTCTGGGGCATCTATTCCAGAGAAATAAAGACTTAGGTTTACAGAAAAACCTGTATGCAAATGTTCATAGCTGTTTTATTCATAATTTCCTCCAACTGGAAACAGCTAAAGTGTCCTTCAATAGGTGAATGGTTAAACAAACTTGGTCCATCCGTACCATGGAATACTACTCTGTGGTAAAAAAGAACAAACTATCAATACATGTGACAACTTGGATCTCAAGGGAATGATGCTGAGTGAGAAAAGCCAATCACAAAGGTTACATATTGTGTGATTCTGTGTACATAATGTTCTTGAAATAACATAACAATACAGATGGAGTACAGATTAATCGGTTGCCAGGGACTAGGGATTAGGGGTGGATGGAAAGGGAGTGGCTATAAAAGGGTGGCACAAGGGAGCCTTGCAGCAATGGAAATGTTCTGTATCTTGATTGTGGTGGTTACATAAACCCATGCATGTGATGAAATGGCATAGACTTATACACACAGACACACATGGAAATAATGGTGGTGAATCTGAATAAGCTTTGTGGATTGCACCAGTGTCAATTTGCGATGTTATAGTGTAGTACAATACATCTTATAGTGAAAGATGCTACCATTAGGGGAAACTAGGTAAAGGGTACATGGGACCTCCCTGTACATTGTTTTTTGCAACTTCCTGTGAATCTATAATTATTTCAAAGTTTTAGAAAATGACAAATTATGGAAAATGCTATCAAGGAAACCCAGAAGGGGTGAGATGGAGAATGAGAGGACCATTGGATGGGGTGGCAAAGAGACCTCTGTGGAGAAGTGATCACCCAGAGTGATCTGTAAGCTGAGAGTGAAAGGATGAGGGGCCAGAGGAGGAACATTTAGCCGTGCTGGCTTTCCCCAAAGGAAACTCTACCAGGAGAAGCCTCCTGGCCAGAGATGTTAGAGTGTCTCTGGACAGAACAGTGCTTGGAAGGGATGTCTTGCTTTTTTTCCTGGTTCCTACTCCTCTCCCTTCCCTCGAATCCCCTCAGTTGATTCTCTTGCCTCCTCTTCTGCCATCAGCCTGGACAAACTGCTGGATGCTGGTCTCTATACTGGAGAAGTGACTGAAATCGTAGGAGGCCCAGGTAGCGGCAAAACCCAGGTACACGTGCGTCCAGCATCCAGGAGGGTTGGGGGAGGTGGGTGCATAGCCCTGGATCCCTGGGGAAGCTTCTGCCAGTGTACTTGTGATTCAGAGCTCGGAAGAGAAAAGATGGGTGGTGAGGAGTGGGGCTTGGACTGGGCCCATTCTTGTCTCTGGGATCTGGACAAGATTTGGTGGGCGCACCCATGCTGGGCCCTCCTTGAGGGCTCAAGTTCACCCAGTGCCCCATCTCTATTCAGGTATGTCTTCGTGTGGCTGCAAACGTGGCCCATGGCCTGCAGCAGAACGTCCTATACATCGATTCCAGTGGAGGGCTCACAGCTTCCCGCATTCTCCAGCTACTTCAGGCCAGAACCCCAGAGGAGGAGGAGCAGGTAAAGAGCAGGAGGGTTGGGTTCCTTTGAGGTTCCGACACCGTAAGACCCCGTTATCCAATGTGTCAAGAATTTGGGTCATTTGTGTGAATAGATATTTCTGGCTTTGAAACTTGCTGTTCTACTAATACTTTCTGTTCTGCAAGCCTCCCCATTATGACATCATCCCACCCCTGCCATACCCTAATTCAGGGCTGCCGTACACCCAGTATCTGTGTTTCTCTCCCATTTCTTGCCCACGGAAGACACACTAATCAGTCCTATCCTTCCTTCCCACGGAGCTCTGACTTGGCTTTGCAGCTCAGCACCCAGGCAGCCACCTTGGTGAGAACTGGCCCATCAGACAAAGCCCATTTGCCATCCTGGACCTGAGTCCTTCTGTCTAAGTGCCTCTTCCTGCTCAGCCTCAAAATCCCTCTTCATCTTGCACGACCCCCTGCTCCTCTTCTCCAAAGCTCTCCCTTCTATCTCCTACTTCTTCAGGCGGGAGCTCTCCAGAGGATCCAGGTGGTGCGTGCATTTGACATCTTCCAGATGTTGGATGTGCTGCAGGACCTGCGAGGCGCTGTGTCCCAGCAGGTGAGCCTGCTGTTCCGCCCCTCCCTGCTCCCCCCAGCTGGCCAGTGCTGTCTGCATGTGGGCAGGTGTCCTACTACAGACTCTGCTTGGAAACGCAGATGTGCAATCTGGTGACTCTAGCTGTGTCTGCTGCTCCCAGGATGGGATTTCTGGATGCTTAATTCATTCCTGAGTGCCTCCTCGTTTACATGCCCATCTTCCCCACTAAATAGTAAACCCCTTCCTTGAGTGCAAGGATCATGTCATATTCGTCTCTGCATTCCAACGCCGGATCCGTTAAGATTACTTTCAGCGGCAAGTAATAGAGTCTATCTGACAGACACTTGAACCTTGAGGACTTTTAATTATCTCACATGAGTCTGGAGGTTGGCAAGGCCATAATGTCAGTGCTGTAGGTTGGTGTGCCTGGTTCTCTTGCTCTTCCTCCTCATGATTGCAAAGTGGCTGCTATGGCTCAAAGCATCATGTCTTCACACATCCATATTACATCCATATTCAGGTCAGTGAGAGATAGATGCCTCTTTTCTGTACCTCTTCCCTTTTATAAGGGAAGAGAAATCTTCCTCTGGAACCCCCCAGTATGCTTCCCTGTTCCCATTACATCTAATTGACCAAAACTGAGCTATGTGTTTGTCCTAGACCAGAGGTTGGGCGCACCTTCCTTGATGTCAGGAGATTTCTGCCCAGTACTTGAACACATTCAGAGTCCTGTTAACAAGGAAGAGGGGTTTGGAATGGCATTTGGGTTGGTACCCTGCTACAACTGATAGGTGCTTAGACAGGATTTGGTGCACTGATTTATACACTCTTAGATTTGGGAGACACCTTACAGAGGATAGTTTAATTCATCTTAAACTTTATCTCTCACCCCAAAGCATAACTTGTTCCCATGGGCATACCCAGGGTTGTATGTAAAGTAAAACATTTTTACAAACTTTAGAACATAACAATAGTTGAATAAATGCTTGCCATAGGAATCGTAGCAGGCTATGACACCCCCATGTGTTGAGACATGAAGTCATGTAGTCCTGACCTAATCCAACCCTCTTGTTTCTAGAGATGAGGAGAGTGAGAGCAGAGACATTCAGTCAGTTGCCCAAAGTCACTGCATATTTAGGATAAGAACAAAGCTTATAACCCAAATCTCTCAATTCCCAAGTCAAAAGACGATATTTTTTACTGTAGGGCCATTAGCTGGTATATATTTCTATTATTGCATAGCAAGTTACTACAAACTTAGTGACTTAAAACAACACATATTTATTACCTCACAGTTTCTGTAGGTCAGGAGTCTGGGCACAGCTTAGCCTGGTCCCCTACTTAGGGTCTCTTTAGGCCGTGATCAAGGTGGCAGCTGGGCTGTGTTCTTATCTGGAGGCTCAACTGGGGAAGAACCACTTACAAGTTCATTCAGGTTTTTGGCAGAATTCATTTCCTGGAAGCTTCAGTTCCTTGCTGGCAGCTGGTTGCTGGCAGAGACCACCTTCAATTCTTTGAGGCTGCCCACTCTTCCTGACATGTGGCCCTTTGCAAAGGCAGTTCACAGCACAGCCACTTGCTTTTTCAAGACAGCACAAGAGTAAGAGCAAAACGCAACACACCATCTTACATAACATAATGTAATCACAGGGTGGCAGCCCATTCCCTTTGCCATATAATGTAGCCTAATCAAGAGAGTGACATCCAGGGAATTCCCTGGCGATCCAGTGGTTAGGACTCTGCATTTTCACTTCCAAGAGCCTGGGTTCAATCCCTGGTCGGGGACTAAGATCCCACAAGCCACGCAGTGCGGCCAAAAAAAGAGTGACATCCTAACACCTTTGACATTTGACTAGTAAGAAAACAAGTCATGGGACTCCCCCAGGGTCAAGGGGAAGGGATCATAGAGGACTCGGACACCTAGAGGTGGGGATCATGAGGTCTGTCTGCCACAGATACCTGATAGCCCCATTGTTACAAGTGGCAAAAGGCTTGTTGTCCCATTTTGGCCAGAGATTTCAACCTGCTCTCCCAGAAAGTAAGGAAGGGCTAAGCTGATCTCTCTCTTTTCTGCCAGCATCCCTTAGACAGCCAGTGACTGGCCAAGAGTCAATAACTGGGATGCAAAAGACAGACAAAATAAGCTGAATATCCAGGACTTGGCCAACATGAGATGAAAAAAACCAGTTATGGAAACAGAATTGGCAAATGGGTTCGATATAAGGAATAAGGGAGAAGAGAAGGGAAGCTTCAAGGACAAGAAATATTTTAGGTCCAAGAAACTAGGAGGATTTTTCCTCCTAGTTTCCTAGTTTCCTGGTTTTAGCAGGTGGCTGTCTATATAGTCTATATTTGGAAACTTTTTTTTTTTTTTTTTTGGCTGTGTTGGGTCTTTGTTGCCGCGCATGGGCTTTCTCTAGTTGCAGCGAGAGGGCGCTACTCTTCATTGCGGTGCACAGGCTTCTCATTGCGGTGGCTTCTCTTGTCATGGAGAACGGGCTCTAGGCACGTGGGCTTCAGTAGTTGTGGCACGTGGGCTCAATAGTTGTGGCTCGCAGGCTCAGTAGTTGTGGCACACAGGCTTATTTGCTCTGCGGCATGTGGGACTTTTCCGGACCAGGGCTCGAACCCATGTCCTCTGCATTGGCAGGCAGATTCCTAACCCCTGCGCCATGAGGGAAGCCCCTGGAACCTTTTTAGATATGGAAGATTAGGCCCTAGAGGCACAATCTGGAAAGAGACTGAAGTAAAGAGAAGGCTGCCCTCTTCAGCAAAGGAAGTTAGGAACTTGGGGCGTAAGCAGGAGAGGGAAAAGAGAACCTGACAAGATGATGGGGGACTGGCCACAAGGAGAAAGATTCTACTAAGAAAATTCCTGACTAGGGGACCACAGGATCTGAGCAGGGATTTCTCAAATTTAGTTATTTTAGGGTATCTGTGATGTCCTGTGATTTAAACTCTCTCTTTCTACCCAGTTCTTCAGTAAAATCTGTTATACATACAAATGGGGGTGGGGAAAAAAAGACATTTCTGAAATTCCATCATACATGCCCAGCTGTATTTGGGGTGGGGGAGGTTATTTCTCACCAGTTTCTGGAAGAGGAGCAGGCTTGTCTGGTAATGGTCGCCCCCTAGAGGCCACCTGGTTCATGGTGCCTGCTTCCCATCAACCCCGCAGGTGAGCAGTTCTTCAGGGACTCTGAAGGTGGTGGTTGTGGACTCGGTCACTGCGGTGGTCGCCCCACTTCTGGGAGGTCAGCAGAGGGAAGGTGAGTGGTGTGGCAGAGTCCAGGGTTGGGGTCTTGATCTTGCCTCCCGGTTCTGGAGTCCTGTCTCCGGCTAGCCTGGTCCCCGATGCCCTGCTGCCCACCCTCTCTGCTTTCTCTTCCCCAGGCTTGGCCTTGATGATGCACCTGGCCCGAGAGCTGAAGACTCTGGCCCGGGACCTCAGCGTGGCACTGGTGGTGAGGAAGTGGGCTTGGCCAGCCATCCTTGCCTTACCTCTGGTCCCTGGGCTTCACCAAGTGGGGAGATGTTCTTTCTAGTTATTTCCCTTAAAGAGCAGCCTCTGAACCCCCAAAGTGGCCCTTTGGAAAAGGACCATAGCCCAACTTCCCTGGGTCATCTAGAGCACCAGACTGGGAGGGGATCGGACCTTAAATAGCCAAAGGATCAGGGACAGTCTTGTTTTTCTTTTTACTTTCTTTAAGTCAGTTTTATTGAGGTATAATTCATACAGAGTAACCTTCTCCTTGTTTGAAGTTTGATACAGTCATCTCCAGCCTTGTTACCCCACCGCAATCAAGATACAGAATATTTCTGTCACCCTAGAAAGATCCTCTGGCCCCAGACAACCACTGATCTGGTTTCTGTCCCAATAGTTTTGCCTTTTCCAGAGCTTCATAGAAAGGGATCTTTTGGCTTTTAAAGTAATTTTTTCTGCTTATGGAGTAGTTTTTTAAAAGTCTGCATGCTTCTCATAAAAGAGGGTAAAAAATAGTTAAATATGAGTCAAATTTATAATCGATCTCCACATCCACAGAAACCATATTAATATTTTTATATACCTCCGTAGAATCTTTTTTTTCTGCATATATACATATACTTTTATATTTATTTATTTATTTTTGCTGTGCGTCTTCTTTTCTGAAGACTCTGGCCCGGGACCTCAGCGTGGCACTGGTGGTGAGGAAGTGGGCTTGGCCAGCCATCCTTGCCTTACCTCTGGTCCCTGGGCTTCACCAAGTGGGGAGATGTTCTTTCTAGTTATTTCCCTTAAAGAGCAGCCTCTGAACCCCCAAAGTGGCCCTTTGGAAAAGGACCATAGCCCAACTTCCCTGGGTCATCTAGAGCACCAGACTGGGAGGGGATCGGACCTTAAATAGCCAAAGGATCAGGGACAGTCTTGTTTTTCTTTTTACTTTCTTTAAGTCAGTTTTATTGAGGTATAATTCATACAGAGTAACCTTCTCCTTGTTTGAAGTTTGATACAGTCATCTCCAGCCTTGTTACCCCACCGCAATCAAGATACAGAATATTTCTGTCACCCTAGAAAGATCCTCTGGCCCCAGACAACCACTGATCTGGTTTCTGTCCCAATAGTTTTGCCTTTTCCAGAGCTTCATAGAAAGGGATCTTTTGGCTTTTAAAGTAATTTTTTCTGCTTATGGAGTAGTTTTTTAAAAGTCTGCATGCTTCTCATAAAAGAGGGTAAAAAATAGTTAAATATGAGTCAAATTTATAATCGATCTCCACATCCACAGAAACCATATTAATATTTTTATATACCTCCGTAGAATCTTTTTTTTCTGCATATATACATATACTTTTATATTTATTTATTTATTTTTGCTGTGCTGGGTCTTCTTTTAAGTGCGTGGGCTTTCTCTAATTGCGGCAAGTGGGGGCTACTCCTCATCGCAGTGCGCGGGCCTCTCACTATCGCGGCCTCTTGTTGCAGAGCACAGGATCCAGACGCGCAGGCTCAGTAATTGTGGCTCACGGGGCTAGTTGCTCCGCAGCATGTGGGATCTTCCCAGACCGGGGCACGAACCCGTGTCCCCTGCATTGGCAGGCACATTCTCAACCACTGCGCCACCAGGGAAGCCCAGCATATATACATATACTTTTAAACAACTTTCCAACTAAACTGTAATCTTGTTAAAAAAAAAAACATACACACCACCATTTCCCATGTCTTTTAATAGATTCTTTAAGAATGCCAGTTTTAGCAGCTATGTATTATTTTGTTTAATACCTATGTTACAGGGGTGAGGAAACCTTTCCTCTAAAGGACCAGGCAGTAAATACAGTTTGCCTTCCCTATCCGTGGGTTCTGCATCCGTGGATTCAACCAACTGTGGATTTGAGCTGTAGTTGGTTGAATCTGTGGATGCAGAACCCGCAGATACGAAGGGCCAACTATACTACACCATCTTATTTAATTTATTTATTTATTGGGCTGTGCTGCGAGCCATGTGGGATCTTAGTTCCTTGACCAGGAATCGAACCTGTGCCCCCTGTAGTGGAAGGGCAGAGTCTGGACCACCAAGAAGTCCCTTCTCTATTTTAACTAAAACTACAGTGAACCTGGAATGGAGAGAAATATCCTTGAAATGATCACTCCTCCTGAAGTAGCCACCTTGCTATGAGTTAGGAAGATTAAATTCAGTTGAAATTTTGAAATCTAAAAAACAAAAACAAAAAAACACTACAGTGAACATCCTTATACCTAAATCTCTTTACATATCTCGTATTTCCTCAGACTCCTAAAAGTATAATCAGTGAGTCAGGGACAAACATATTTTTAAATGTCTAGATGTGACATTGCCAAGTTGCTGGGAAGGTTATAGTTTTTGTGCACCTACCAGCAGCATAAGGGGATTTGTTCTATTCTTTTGTTCTTTTTTTTTTTTTGGCTGTGTTGGGTCTTCGTTCCTGCGCGTGAGCTTTCTCTAGTTGCAGCAAGCAGGGGCTGCTCTTTTTTGTGGTGTGTGGGCTTCTCTTGCTGTGGAGCATGGGCTCTAGGCACGTGGGCTTCAGTAGTTGCAGCACGTGGGCTCAGTAGTTGTGGCCTATGGTCCCTAGAGCGCAGGCTCAGTAGTTGTGGCGCTTGGGCTTAGTTGCTCCACGGCATGTGGGATCTTCCCGGACCAGGGAGTGAACCCATGTCCCCCTGCACTGGCAGGCGGATTCCTAACCACTGCGCCGCCAGGGAAGTCCCTTCTTTTGTTCTCATACTGGGTCCCAAGGCCTCCCTCTCCAGACTGTAGGATGTATGTGAGCACCTGCTGTGTGCCAGGCTCTGGCTTAGGCAGCAGGGATTCAATGATGAACAAGCCACACCTCTGCCCAGGGGTGGGGTGGGGAGCAGGGGTAACCTCAAGAGGATGCACTGAGGTTGGCGTTGCTTACCTGAGACTAGCCTGGGCAGAGTAGAGCTGACCGGCCTTCCAAAACCCCTCCCACGTATACACACAGATGCACACCCTGACACAAAGGGGTGGGTGCACGTGGTCTCAGGATGCCCGATTGCTGCGTTGGGGTTGTAGTGGGCCTAAGCGGACAGCACTGCTTTTCCCAGACACATGCCCCATTACCTTTTATTGGAATCAAGCCTGGGACGTTGTGGTTTAGTGGCAAGAGCTCTGCACAAGTCAGGGGTCCAGGGTTCTGATTCCAGACCGTTGATAAATTATGGAAGCTTGGGGAAGTTGTTTCCTTGTACTAGGCCTCAGCTTTCCCATCTATAAAATGAAGCCATAGGAGCAGATGTCCTCTGTACCAGCATTACAGATCTACAAGCCTTTGATTCTTTCTGCTGCAGGTGACCAATCACGTGACCCGAGACAGGGACAGCGGGCAACTCAAACCTGCCCTGGGACGCTCCTGGAGCTTTGTGCCCAGCACCCGGCTTCTCCTGGACACCGGCCAAAGTGCAGGAGCATCAGGCAGCTGGCGCATGGCGTGTCTGACCAAATCTCCCCGTCTGGTGAGCCAGTCCCAGGGGAAAGCCAGGAATCTGGGTCCTTGAGGGTGACTTTTGTGCCCACAGATGTCTCATCGAGGAACTTCTGGATACTGAGACCCAGCAGCCAAAGCGGCTACCCACTTGGGCTGCTCAACTGAAAAACTCACCTTCCCCTCCTGTCTTGTTCCAGCCAACAGGTTTCCAGGAGATGGTGGACATTGGGACCTGGGGGACTCCAGTGCAGAGCCCAACATTACAGGGAGATCACATGTGACTTGCTGTTGATTGGGACAAACCCTCCTGCACGGTAACGCCTGCTGTTCACTGCTGGCAGCCCGTGGGGCTGCATAGAAGCTCTCGGGCTGGGAAGACATCTTAGTCCTTAGCTCCTGTCTCTGGAAACACAGTGTTACTGGCTAGAGAGGATGCTACTGTGGAAGGACCCAGAAATTCATGCCGGTACCAGGTTTTCCTCCCTTGTGTCTACCACGTATGTTTCCAGCAGGTGCCAAGTTCAGTGTCTTGGGCATCTCTGAAGAGGCGTGCTGGTGCCTGGACAGATAACCCTGTGCATCGCTGTACTGCACTCCATCCTAACACAGTGACCGAGTCTGAGGCCTCTAGCTTGACTTTGCTTCCCTTCTTCTTCTTCTTTTTTTTTTCCCCTCTGTTTTTCCATCTGTAAGATGGGGCTCCCTTTCTCTTAACTCTCTCTTTGAGTTACCGGGTGGAATTAACCTTGTAAGTGCAAAACTCTTCTTTATCTAGGTCTTGATATTAAAAACATACAAAGGAAATTCTCTGAGCCCCAGAGCCATCCATTTTCCCCCCAGAAGGTGGTTTTTCAGTTTCCCCTAGTGAGGCCCTAAAGAATGGTTATTCCTCTT